CAAAAGGTATGGAAAAGCGGGCATCGAGCGGCTACTTTCTACCAGAGCTGTGGCACCACCAACGAGCTGGGAACCGGCTTTGTAGTGCTGGGTAAGATGCGCCAACGCGTGATTGGTTGGCAGCCGATCAACGCGAGGATGTGCAAGTTGAGGATTAAGGGCCGTTTCTTCAACTACAGCATCATCAACGTGCACTGCCCACACGAAGGGAGACCCGACGACGAGAAAGAAGCGTTCTATGCGCAGCTGGAGCAGGTGTACGACGGCTGTTCGCAACGGGACGTCAAAATCGTCATCGGCGACATGAACGCTCAGGTAGGACGGGAGGCAATGTATAGACCGGCAATCGGGCCAAACAGCCTGCATGCCGTATCGAACGACAACGGCCAACGATGCGTGAACTTTGCAGCCTCCCGGGGTATGGTAGTTCGAAGTACCTTTTTCCCCCGCAAGGATATCCACAAAGCCACCTGGAGATCACCTGACCAACACACAGAAAACCAAATCGATCACGTTCTAATCGACGGGAAATTCTTCTCCGACATTATCAACGTCCGCACGTACCGCAGTGCGAACATAGATTCGGACCACTACCTAGTTGCAGTATGCATGCGCTCAAAACTCTCGACGGTGCATAACACACGTCGAAGTCGAACGCCACGACCCAACATTGAGCAACTACGGGACACCGGAGTTGCCCAGGACTACGCGCAGCAGCTGGAAGTTGCACTACCCACGGAAGAGCAGCTTGGCGCAGCTTCTCTTGAAGATGGCTGGAGGGACATCCGTTCAGCCATAGGTAGTACTGCTGTAGCGGCACTAGGTACTGCAATCCCGGACCGAAGAAATGACTGGTTTGACGGCGAATGCAAACTGTTAGTAGAGGAGAAGAATGCAGCACGGGCGAGAATGCTGCAACACCGCACGAGATTGAATGTGGAGCGATACAGACAAGCGCGGAACAGACAAAACTCGGTTTTCCGAAGGAAGAAGCGTCAGCAGGAAGATCGAGATCGCGAGGCGATGGAAAATCTGTACCGCGTAAACGACACACGGAAGTTCTACGAGAAGCTAAATAGTTCGCGCAAAGGCTACGTGCCGCAAGCCGATATGTGCAAGGACTTGGACGGTAACCTTCTCACGAACGAGTGTGAGGTGATTGAGAGGTGGAAGCAGTACTATGACGAGCACCTCAACGGTGAAGCAGCAGAAAACGAAGGTGGCACGGCAACAGACCTTGGAGCACGCGCAGAAGACGACAGGCTACCGGCCCCTGATCTTCAAGAAGTTGAGGAGGAGATCGGTCGGCTGAAGAACAACAAAGCAACTGGTGTAGATCAACTACCAAGTGAGCTATTGAAATACGGTGGTGAAGCACTGGCTAGAGCGCTGCACTGGGTAATTGCCAAGATTTGGGAGGAGGAGATATTACCGGAGGAGTGGATGGAAGGTGTCGTATGCCCAATCTACAAAAAGGGCGACAAGTTGGATTGCTACAACTACCGCGCGATCACACTGCTGAGCGCCGCCTACAAGGTACTCTCCCAAATTCTATGCCGCCGTCTGTCACCATATGCAAGAGAGTTCGTGGGGCAATACCAGGCGGGATTCATGGGTGCCCGCGCTACCACGGACCAAATTTTCGCGATTCGGCAGGTTCTGCAGAAATGCCGCGAATACAACGTGCCCACACATCATTTGTTCATCGATTTCAAATCCGCATACGACACAATCGATCGAGATCAGCTATGGCAGATTATGCACGAGTACGGATTTCCGGATAAACTGACGCGATTGGTCAAGGCGACGATGGATCGAGTGACGTGCGTTGTTCGAGTATCGGGGACACTCTCGAGTCCCTTTGAATCTCGAAGGGGGTTACGGCAGGGTGATGGACTTTCGTGTCTGCTGTTCAACATCGCGTTAGAAGGTGTGATCAGAAGAGCTGGGATAGACACGAGTGGCACGATATTCAGGAAGTCCATCCAGCTCCTTGGTTTCGCCGATGACATTGACATTATGGCACGGAACTTTGAGATGATGGCGGAAACGTACATCAGACTGAAGGCTGAAGCTAGACGGATTGGACTTGCCATCAACGCATCAAAGACAAAATATATGAAAGCAAGAGGTTCTAGGGAAGACAATGTTAGCCTCCCACCCCGAGTTCAGATTGACGGTGACGAAATCGAGGTGGTCGATGAGTTCGTGTATTTGGGCTCACTGGTGACCGCCGAAAATGATACCAGCAGAGAAATTCAAAGACGCATTATGGCAGGGAATCGTGCCTACTTTGGACTCCGGAGGACGCTCCGGTCGAATAAAATTCGCCGCCGCACGAAGTTGACTGTCTACAAGACGCTGATTAGACCGGTGGTCCTTTACGGCCACGAGACCTGGACTATGCTCGTGGAGGACCAACGCGCCCTTGGTGTTTTCGAACGGAAGGTGTTGCGTACCATCTACGGTGGAGTGCAGATGGATGACGGAACGTGGAGGAGACGAATGAACCACGAATTGCACCAGCTGCTGGGAGAACCATCCATCGTCCACATTGCAAAAATTGGGCGACTACGGTGGGCTGGGCACGTCGTAAGAATGCCGCACGACGACCCAGTGAAAATGGTTCTAGAAAGTGACCCAACAGGAACAAGAAGAAGAGGCGCGCAGCGGGCAAGGTGGATCGACCAAGTAGAAGGCGACCTGCGGACCCTTCGCAGACTACGAGGCTGGCGAACTGTGGCCATGGATCGAGTAGAGTGGAGACGACTTCTTCGGACAGCAGAGGACAACAAGGCCTTAGCCTGATTGGTAAGTAAGTAACCGTGGGCGGTCAATCATGCTCATGCTCTTGTTTGACCAAATTTTGATCGTAGCACGCTTTACTAATCAAGGTGTACAGTTCCGTCATAGTGGTTGCGTTATCGGACTCGTTTGATGCATGCAAAATACTTCGACAAGGTGCCTGGCCTCCTTTAGAATGATCAAGGCCACCTTCTGATTGTTTTATAACATCGACAAATTTAATTATTTAAATCTTCTAAACATTTTGGAGAGGGCCTAGATTATTCTGGAGGGACCAGGCACCCTTGGCATCCCCATTATCTACGCAAATGGTAACAAGGGACAGTATTTGTACTAGTCTACGTCAGTTGACGAAATAAATAAATATGAAATTGCTACAGAGATTTTCGAAGACTCTTTATTGCCGGAAGTGATGCTTACCATGGACTCCACAAGACCGGAATTGATCATCACATATAGGCCCATATGGTTCCAAACGGTAGAAACAGCCGGTGGAAACTAATGATTTTAAATTGGCTCACACTGGACTAGCCTATCGGTCCCAAGTAAATCGAAGAACGTACCCCATTCTAGTCGAAATTCTAATACTAAACTATGTTTGTTTTGATTCGCTATGAAATTTTGCCGGAATCAATTCCGAATATTCACATTACAGTTGACCCGATCCTGTCAGCCTTTCTGCGCATCAGACTGTTATTTTTCAATAACTCCACATAATTGAAATTTAATATCTTCCTCCTTCAAGATGGATGTTGAGGAAACACATACTTTAGGGTATAGGGTCATTGCTGTTTAATCATTATCTTTTTTCAGCCTTCATTCAGACTGGATATATTGATTTAAATTATTTTCTTCCAGCTCTTCGACAACGGAACATCATTAGATTTATACTGTAATGATTCATTCTTCTAGCGTTCACCCTGGTTTTGTCTGCAGTCGCGGACGGTCAATTTTCATTGGCGTAGCTAATGGGGGTGCCAGAGGGGCCAGGCTTCCTCCAGAATTATCTAGGCCCCCTCCAGAATTATATAGGCCTCCCTCCAGAACTATCTAGGCCCCCTAGAGAATTATCTAGGCTCCCTCCAGATAAATTGTCTAGCTAAGCCAATGTCAATTTTGCACAAGCTCATGCTTCAAGTTTATTTTCAGCTTTTCGATGATGGAACATCTTCAGATTCATATTATAATGATCCACCATTTTGTTTAGGCTTCAGGAAAATCCAAGTATAATGCATGATAACACTGATTCATTTAAAACCATGGTCGCATCAGTTATCAAGGTGAATCCTGATACAACAAACCCAACTTACTAACTAAATCTCCTTTCCTGAGTCTTTTGTTGGGGTGCAGAGGTAAATACGGCCCACAAACAACAAAGGTCACTCTAATATTACTTCCCTACTCCCATCTGATTGCAAGGACGTGGCCGGCGCCGTTATTGATCTACACAATATGGAGTCACTGAAACTTGTACAATGAGAATGGACGGTCACTCCCAGCCCCATTCAGTTGATTCATTGTACAAATTACGGAGTAGCAACCATTGATATGCTAAGCTATGAAAGTTTGCTGGATTAAATGAGAGGTTCGTAAAGTTTCCTATGTTTCGATTAGCTTGAGACCGAAGAGAGTACCAGAGCTGAGCCAAAAAGTTGAACACGTTTCTTCGCGACCTTCTGGTCCTAGAGTTGACTATTCATTAAACGTGCAAAATTGTCATTCACTGCAGTCCCTTTGCATTTAAAGAATCACGGGACATGAAACAATGTCCCAGGATCCGTAAGCCCAACGGTATAGGCTTCCTTATGTTTCATAAATTGTTATCACTGTTTGGATTTTGATTGTAACTATCGTATCTTATCAGAATTGATCCTTATATGCCAAAACAACGCAGTACTGACTGATTTGCTAATAATATTATCCGCAACGGTGCACTGTACTTTGCTGGATGACATTCTATTTAAGTTTGTTTTTCTACGTCAGAATCAGTGGGAATACCGATTTCGATTGCGGGCTTATCATTTTCTTTCGAAATCAGAACTAAGCCATTGCGATTTCAGATAATAGAACTCCTGCTATATAAGAAATGACCTTTAGTAGATTTACGCTATTCAGTTGGTAGGTGTAATAAACATGTATCGTTTGAGTTTGCTCGTTTTGCTCCTGGGAGCCGTTGCCGTTTTTGGAGGCAGTAAGTACAAATCGGAGAAAGATACAAGCATGCTTTAATTTATAATCTTTTTTTAGCTCTGTCTCCGGAATTCCTCGAGTGGGAGGGCCGTATTGTCGGTGGCCAAAATGCCGCCTCCGGACAGTTCCCATATCAGGTTTCACTCCGCTCATCTGCCAACTCTCACTTCTGCGGAGCGTCCATCATCAACAATCGTTTTGTGCTGTCAGCCGCGCATTGTACCGTCGGACGTACTCTGGCCAACACCCGTGTTGTCGTCGGAACTCACCTTCTGAACAGCGGTGGAATTTCCCACGCCTCGTCTCGCATCGTCAACCACGGATCGTACAACGCCAACTCTCTCGCCAACGACGTTTCGCTGGTGCAGACCGCTTCGGTTATTGCATTTAACAACCTTGCGCAACCCATTGGTCTGGGAGCTACCTTCATTAACACTGCCGGTGGTGCTCTGGCTTCCGGCTGGGGTCGATTGGGAGCCAATGCCGGTATTCCAAACAATCTGCAATGGCTGAGCACCAGCATCATCACTCTGGCTGATTGCCGTAGCCGTCACTCGGCTGCCAACGCTGCATCTGTATTTGACAACACCATCTGCACGCTGAGCCCAAGCGGTCAGGGTATGTGCATGGGAGATTCCGGCGGTCCATTGGTGCACGGGGGCAACCAGCAGGGTATCGTGTCGTGGGGCATTCCCTGTGGTCTGGGAGCTCCTGATGTATTCGCTCGTGTGTCTTCGCACCGTACCTGGATCCTGAACAATGCTGCTTAAGTTAGATGTAAGTCATCAAAAATGTCCCTATTTTTTGGTAATTAAGGTCATTTGATAAAATGCTATTATATAGTCAATTCAAATTAAAGCTTCGTTCTGGTTGTAGTTTTTCTTTTTTTTATCTAGTTCGTTTATTTTGAAGGCTGAATCATTTTAGCTTGATGGAGCCATTGTTCATTGTTTGTAACAACATTCACTAAATTATATGTCTAGTAGGAAATGAGCCGAATACTCGCGGCTTATCCAAGGCTAGAGAGTTACCTTGTCGAAGGATAGGATCAGAGAAGGCGCTTGGGGGTGAGGTTTTGTTGTATCATCTGTATTAGTTGTGGACTCTTAAATTTGAGTTAGTAAAAGGTTGATAAAATGAATGTAAACGGTAAGCAATTTCTGATCCTAATAATTTTCATCGAAAAATTTTTATTAGAAAATTAGGGTGTCAATTCGTATAGACTTTCTGAGGTTATTGATGATGCTAAGAGATGAGATGATGACACTAAGAAATAACTAATTTTACCTGTGACGGAATCCATCTCTGAAAAAGGATGAGACGTAAACTAATATGTCATGAAAAATTAGTTGCTCAATTTTAAGAGAGCACCTGAGTCAGCCTTATACCACCGACATTGATGCTTGGATTTCATAGTTTGTTGCAAAAGTGTATTTTTTTAGCTAGGCTTTAGATTATTGACAACATTGCTCAAAACATTCGATTAGGACATAAGGTTTAGGTTTTCGGAAAACTGGTTGATATGATCATGTATGTCTACTTTCTAGAATATACGAACATTTTGAACGGTTGGAGATGACTCTCGTTTGAAGATCTGATCGGACCATGGAGAGAATCGACCTAAGAAGACTAATAGAAATAATGAAATTGTTTGTTAAATACATCTGTTATATTAACGACTGCAACGATAGAATAAATGTTCAAGCTTTGGAATTCCACCTGAACTAAAATGGCTAATTATATTGAAGATATTTTTACTTTTCCTTCTTGTCATACGATACTGACAAATAAGAACACAAAAACATTCTGAGTGTTTATGGTGCCTTTGGTAGAATAGCTTTAAAACAAAAATATCGCCACTCACTTCACCATTCGAAAGAGGGGACTTTTTCTATAATCTTGTCATTATTACTTAAATTTTTCATCGGAGTCAATTTGGACTGTTTTGAGCGTTTATTTCTATGGGTATCTTTTTCCGAGTTTTTTTTTTGTTTTGGAAAAATCAAACAAAAAAATTGTTTCTAACCCCCTTGATGAAATATTTAAGTAAAAAGTTCACTCTTTTGACTTTTCACCAAAGACACCGTGTTTTAAAGTACTGATAATTTCTCGGAACTTTCAATCTTTAAAACTAAATAGCTTTCAAATGTATCATAGTTTCAGATGAACATTTTAGAGGAAAACACATATTTTCGCTTAAAGTTTAAAATAGAAAAAAAAGCAAAAAAAAAGAGAAGTTCAAAATTATTTATTTAAAAAATAAATTCCAAAGTCAATAAATATTAAAATAAATATTGAAAATTAATTGAAGATTCGAACTTCAAAATCAAGATGCTTCTCCTATCGCACACAAATTTACGTTCCAAACATGTATAATCATCTTTCGGTAACTAAATAATGATTATTTACAGTAACCGGAATGACGATGCGCTAATTAAAATGCGTTTGTTGATGCAGCATTATGACAGATAAACTGAATCTCATCAAAAAAAACAAGGCATCAATTTGTAAACATTATGCTACTATTTTGATTCGTTTATGGGATTCCAGATCAACTTTGAACTATTATTGTCCCAAGTGTTTTTACTGAAAAGTACCAACACGTCAATTGCGTGAAAAGATATTTTACATACACTGGCTTCGGTGTCTTCAATGAAAACTCTAGCGCCTTCCGCAAACTTCAGGAACCTTGTTCCGTTTATGCTGCTGAGCTGGCAGCAATCAACTTCACATTGGGGATGATTTCCAACATGCCCGTAGACCATTACTTCATCTTCTTGGATAGTCTCAGTTCGATTGAGGCTATTCGGTCGATGAAACCAAGTAGGCACTCATCTTATTACCTTTCAAAGGTAAGGGAGCAGATGAGTGTGCTGGTCGAAAAATAATATAGGATTACCTTTGTATGGGTCCCCTGGCATTGCCAATCAGAGGCAATGAGAAGGCGGACTCTCTCACAAAAGTGGGCACGCAGGAAGGCGAATTTTATGACAGGCAAATTTCACACGATAAATTTTACCCTTTCGAGTTGGCAAACCGATTGGGACACTGGAAATCTTGGGCGGTGGTTACATTCAATTATTCTTAATGTTTCTTCGATAGCGTGGTTTAAAGGCTTTGGCTTAATGAGTAGACTTATGTCCAACCACTACTCGCTAGATGCTCATCTCAATAGAATAAACCTCGTGGACAGCAACATATGTCAGTGTGGAAACGGTTACGACGACATCGATCACGCAGTTTGGAAATGTAAGGATAATGACGTGTCGCCAGAAAGCGACTTTTGAATACCCTTGAGGCCCAAGGAAGACAACCCTATACCCCTTTCAGAGACGTGTTTGGTACCCGCGATCTCTGCTATTGCAGTCGATTTATGTGTTTCTGCAAATTTCTAGTATAAGAACTTAATTCCTTTGTCTTTTGTATCTCTTTATTAGTTTTTGTTTGTCTAGTCCTCCGTCTCGATGAGTCTCATTGTCGCCCACTGGTCACCATAGCCGGTTGAACTCCAGACGAATCTAGAACCACACTACCAGTTCTTACTGGCGACATCGCTCTGATGAGACAACGAAACGCTACTCCCAAGCTCCTCCCCTTTTCCTATCCTTCGATAATGTATCCCTCTAACCTCGGGTAAGCCACGAGTATTCGGCCCAACTCCTACCAGACATAGAATTAAGTGAATTTTGTTACAAACAAAGACCAATGAATTATCGGCTCCGTAAAGCTTACGCGATTGAGCCTTACAAATAAACGACCTAGATAAAAAAATTGATTCGTTTGCTGCTGTATGCCATGGGCACTCGATATGGCAACTATTGAACTTGGATTTGAGTTCTCATGTCACATGATGGGTACACACAAGTAGCGGAGATAGTCTATAAAGAATTAGAAAAGTTTATCAAAATTTCAAATTAAAGAATGATTATTTCAAGGGTATACTTACACTGGTGACAGATGCAAACTGTGACATAGATCAAAAAAAAAAAAAAAAAATAAAAAAAAATAAATTGCCAAAAATCGCTACTCTATATCTAGTTGAGCTTTCAACTTAAAGCAAGTAGGTAACTGCGCTGTTCACCATCCAATAGGCCTTATCAAACAACTTTGACGAATACTACAACATTTCACCCAAATCGTAGAAAGTAGGTTTACTCACTGATTAAGTAAGATTTTACTCGATTTTCCTAAAAAATCTGCTTGAATAGGACGAAAATCTAAAATTTTTTTACTCAGCCTATAAATATGCTCATAAACTAAAATAAGTAAAATTTCCATAATAAACAAATACCTTCACTGAACAATAACCCAAATAGTCGAACTTTTCCACAAATGATTTGGATGATACCCCAAGCACATCGTTAAATAAAATAACCATTACAAATTTATAAGGTTAAGAAGGACGCAAACTACTTGATTTATAGAAATGATCGTCTTGATGGACCCTGTGGTGGCGTTGCCATCATTATTCATAGACGAATCAAACATAAAATTCTTTCTTCATTTGAAACCAAAGTTTTTGAAACTTTGGGAGTTTCTGTTGAAACAAAATTTGGACAACTTACGTTTATAGCTGCCTATTTGCCATTCCAATGCGTAGGCCAGCAAAAGAATTTTCTCAAGGGTGACCTCCAGAAACTTACCCGTCATAGGTCTAAATTCTTCATTATTGGTGATTTTAATGCAAAACACCGCTCATGGAATAATGCTCAAAGCAATTCCAATGGTAATATTCTGTTTGATGATTGTTCTGCAGGTTATTACACTATTCAATATCCAAACAGCCCAACATGCTTTTCTTCTATAAGAAATCCCTCCACTATTGATTTGGTCTTAACTGATTCATGTCAACTTTGTAGCCAATTGGTTACCCATGCTGACTTCGGTTCTGATCACCTTCCAGTAACTTTTGAAATATCCCAAGAAATAATTTGTAATCCCAACAGCTCTACTTTCAATTACCATAGAGCTGATTGGGAGCAGTATCGAACATTTATGGAATATAACTTCGATCCAAACATTCCTTTGCAAACCAAAGATGAAATTAATTATGCTCTTGAATCTCTGACTACTTCTATAGTTGAAGCAAGAGCTGCCTCAGTACCAAAATGCGAGGTTAAATTCGATTCAATTATAATAGACGATGATCTTCAGCTCTTGATCCGTCTTAAAAATGTCCGTAGGAGACAATATCAAAGAACACGCGATCCTGCCATGAAAGTTATCTGGCGGGATTTGCAAAAACAAATTAAAAAGCGATTCTCTGCCCTGAGGAACAAAACTTTTGAAAATAATATTTCTAAATTAGACCCGAGTTCCAAACCCTTTTGGAAACTCACAAAAATTTTGAAAAAACCTCAAAAGCCTATTCCAGCGCTTAAAGAAGGTGGTAAAATTTTGATCACAAATTTGGAAAAAGCTCAGAAACTTGCTAAGCAATTCGAGAGTTCCCATAATTTCAGTTTGGGTCTTACTAGTCCTATTGAGAATCAGGTTGCTCGGGATTTTCTGAATATTTTCTCTCGGGAAAATATTTTTGATGATTCCTGGGGGACTGATTTGGACGAAGTAAGGTCTATAACTAAAAAATTTCAAAATATGAAAGCTCCAGGTGATGATGGAATTTTCTATATCCTCATCAAAAAACTCCCAGAGAGTACCTTGTCTTTCTTGGTAAAATTATTTAACAGATGTTTCCATTTGGCATACTTTCCGGATAAATGGAAAAATGCAAAAGTTGTTCCAATTTTGAAGCCGGATAAAAATCCAGCTGA